GGAAAAGATAGACCCGTCATCTCCTCAGATGGAGCGCGTTCGTCGGGTCTTCGAATGTGTTGCTTCTGCAAAGCGGCCGCTTACCACGGCTGAAGTAGTGGAGATCTACACTCTGGATACCGATCTGAGGTCGTCAGATGATATGGATATTGATGACTACGAGACATTCATGCTCGAGAGATGCACGGGTCTACTTAACATCGTTACCCGGACAAGTTATGATGAAACAGTATACGGAACTGTGCATTTCATTCACTTTTCCGCGAAAGAGTTCCTCATGTCTCCCAAGGTCCGGAGTACTGAGAGCTCCGCACATTGCTATAGATTCGATGAATACTCAGCCAATCTTGCGCTATCGAAGATATGCCTCGCGGCGCTTGAAGTCGCACCCGCGCTGTCTTCCATACTCGTGTACGCAAACGATTATTGGAGAGACCACGTCTCGCATCAGAATGAACTTGACCTCGGCGAATATCTTGGCCGGTTTCTTCAGATGGACTCTTCACCTTTTGCTCGCTGGGCAAGCACCTTGCCGATCTGGAATCCCGATCGAGACGATGCTGCTATTCATTGTGCCGCGGCCCTCAATCTGTCTCACCATTTGAAGAAGTTGCTGGCACGGTCACAGTTCAACCAATCTTCTCCCGTGAGAAGTACTCTTGTTGCAGTACGTTGCCCCCAAGGGCAAACTGCATTACACCGGGCTGCATCTGCTGGTACGGTTGATGCCTGTCGCCTGTTGCTCGAGCGCGGAGCTCTCGTCGACGATGCCGACAAATATGGGCACACTCCCTTCCATCTGAGTGCACAATCTGGGAGCTTTGAGACCATAAAGATGCTTCTCGAGCACCCCCGAGCAGATGCGGGGGATCCCGGTGCCCGCATTCATGCCCGTAACAAGCTAGGGCATACTGCATTGCATCTCGCTGCATTGTCTGGAAAGGCAGATGCTTGTCGCCTATTGCTCGAGCGCGGCGCTCTCGTCGACGACACCGGCGAAGATGGGGACACTCCTTTACATATGAGTGTAGATCTATTTACAAGTGTGGACGTTATGCGGATGCTTCTCGAGCACCCCCGAGCGGATGCGGCGGAGTCTAGTGATCGCATTCATGCCCGTAACAAGCTGGGGAGGACTGCTTTGCATCTCGCTGCAGGATCATCGCGCGAGCCAGAGGCCTGTCGCCTGTTGCTCGAGCGCGGCGCTCACATCGACGACGTCGACAAAAACGGAAACACTCCTTCACATTTTGCGGCTAAGTACTGGTCGCACTCAGATACCACCCGCTTCCTTCTAGAGTATCGCGCGGAGAAGAATCTAGGAGGTCTACCGCGAGCTCATAAACTCAGGAATCAGCTGCGCCGCCTTGCCGAGGGTTCCGAAGGCGAACTGTGGCGTGCCATTCTCGAGGACTTCGCGTCTCAGATCGGCGCGGTCGAGGTCAGTCTTGCCGAGACGTGGTTCGTAGATGTCTAGGGTACACGCCGCGCGGTCAGGCATGGACGTCGATGTGAGCGGGAAGTAGGGAGCCGGTGGGAGGTTTGAAACTAGTCTCGTGTTTTGAAAGCCCGGACTTTGAGGTTCGTTTGTATAGTTCTTTTGTAGGTTAACCTGTATGCATGTGTCGAACCATATCAGAGCGTTAACCCATGGGGTGAAGAAGCGCAAGATGTATTCAAGTAAAGTATGAATAGATCATCTCAGGACGCGGGGGGAAAGTGATGGCAAGTAAGCGTGCAGCACGGTCATGAGGCACAAGAGTCTGTGCTGCATTATGTGCGATCCTCCGCGCTTCATACAGCAGACAACGGCATTGGAAAGCCCTATAAGCATCTGATCTCGACATCAGCTACGTTTCGATATAGTCATGGAACGCTGTAGACGAACACGAGAAGGTAATTGTACAGGCATCTCATCAGTCGCCTTCGTAAACGACTTTGCGAGATGAGAACTCCACCTAAGGGAGGGTCAGTGCGGTAGATAGGAGCGAGAGTAGGAAGCTCACATGAGGGCCCCCGCGACATATAGTGAGTCTACGGGCGCATTGGTCACGCTGATATCGTTGCAGCAGCTTCAGAGTGTCATATGGTATGGTCTCGGTAGGTATAGGCTATACCTAGCGATATGCGTGCGTCAACATAAGGGAAGAAGAGATGGTACGCGCGTTCGAGGCGCATTAGGCTGGTGAGTCATTTGTAGTCTCGCTTCATACAAACATGACATCGCTGTAGATGAAGAGTCAGCTCCCAAGACGAGGTTTCAAAGAGAGATCACGCGTACGAGTACGATGGTGCGAGCATCGTCAGTAAGCAATGACGTTTTGTCACGGCCTATGAGAACTGGTACGGAGGAATGGCATCAAGAGTAAGGTGGTAGTGGCGGATCAAGATGCGTTGGCGGGGCAGAAAGACGCGCGCTGAACTGCGCTGAAGGCAACTTGGACACGACGCTCACGTCGCGCACTCCAGCGCCTGCGTTTTACGAATATTGCTACATCTTCAAGATTCAAAAAATCTCGATGGACAGGGAAAATAAGACTATCAAGCGCGGAGACGACGCCCAGTGAAGGCGGACGCAGTACAGCTCGACCGTGGGTGGGTTTCTTTTTCCAGTACCTCAGTTGTGGACATACGCTGACCGCTTCGACAGAGGGCTCAACGGACCCGAACCGCTCTTCGGCCGCACGATTCCGCGTGTTTGGCCGGCTTCAACAGGCGTTCCGCTACCTCTGTCACCCTTTACGTCGACGATGCACCCACGAAACCATTGCACCCATCCCGACCCGGCCCAGTGCGAGCGCCCAGGACTGCAAGAAGCGACCGGGATCCCTGGTGCGCGCTTACCTTTTTGCTTTGCATCGAGGCAAACGAACACCGAATGCGATCAAATAGACCTGGCCATGTCGGACCAGCGCTACCACCAGGTCCTCCTGCTAGCCCTTCAACGCCTCGCGCCGCACCGGCGCGCCATGAGTAATGCCAGGTGGGTCTCTGTGCTTCCTTCTTACTTTACGACATGTACTGAGGTATCGATCTAGTGTACATAGGGCATGCGTAGACGAATAAGCACCGCAAGACGGCGCACACCCACCGGCTCCCGCAGCGGCGTCGGATGCGGAGGACGCGTCAAACGCCCGTCGTTGGGCCCGCATAGTCGGTGCGTACTCCT